GTGCCTTAGTTTAAGCACCAAGTTAACTCATGTTTTTTGGTTTTTTTTTTTTTTTTTTAGTTCAGGATCCACTGATGCAGGAAGAGACGAATGAAAAAGAAGAGGCGATAACTGATGAAAACATTGTTGATTTGCAACAGTTTGTACTGGTGGGTGGTGTGTACCACATTGATGTACTGCAGCTTCCACCTCAGGTCAAACAAATCAAGGACTGGAGTATGGTGGAGGTAAGTGAGGAAAGAGATTACGCCTATGCACTCCTCTTCCCTGTCATCCTTGAAGAGCTGTTCCTGAGGTGTGTCACCACTGTACATATGCAGTGTACATGATTTCTTGAGCAGCAAACTGAAGGACCAAGTTTTAAACTCATTTCTCAATGACACTTGGCCAATTTTTGGAGCAGCTGGGGGGAACAGATCAGCCTGCACTTAGAGGTGTGTGCTCCGTCAGTGCTCATCAGCATGGCTAGCACAGATCGTTGTGCTGGAAACTGCTCTTGGCCAAAGTAAAAGCAAAGAGAGAAGTTCTTAGTTTTTCATATGTGAAAGGTACACTTAAAGAAGGATGGTAACAAAATTACTGTCAGTTCAGTTCCAGGCTCTGCAAAATATTTGAGGACTATAGCCGATGTGTTCTAGTTTTCCCACTCGTGGAGCTTGATGCAGTGCTAACCTACATCACAGTTTTTACTGTGAAGCTGAAAAACCTTTAATAAGTGAAATTCCCATACTAACTAAGAAAGCGGGATTGTGGGTGTGGGGGTCTTCGTTCCCAGCTGAGCACATGGACCTGCATTACCAGTTGCCCGTGACATCTTTCATTCCCTTTGACATGGTGTGGACAAAGTGGAATTGTATCTGCTTTTGCCTCTCAGGTGCTCTTGGGTTTTTTGGAGACTGTGGACCTAAAAAATGACTACGCCTACTTTGTGGCAATGCCTTAAGGGTGCCACCGACAGCACATGAAGGGTTCAAAGGCCTGGTGGTAGTCACCTGTCTACTGTCTTCAACATTGTAGTTGGAAATGTGCAATATTAGCAAACCATTAATACTAATAAACTTTAAATGGTGCATTAGGAAACTCTAGAGGTGAATAGGTGGACTTAAAGAAAAAAAAAACAGTAGGCTACTGCATTTTCTAATAAAAATGTTATCTGGCCTTTTCCCATCTTACCACAGATACTCGATGTTGGATTGGAGGCATACCCATATCCCCCAGAAGAGACTGAAGATGCCCCACATCCACCAATACAGATAACCCTTCGGCTTTCTGACAATGTGATGTATTTTGAGGATCCTGTGATAGCCCGATGGGATCCTGCAGGTATGGACTTAGGACATAAATTTATTTTCAGTTTGAATAATGGAATTTATACCTGAGTTTGGCAGGTTCCAGAATCCAGCTGTAAAGATAAGAGCCAATTCAGAACCCAGAAATAATTTGGGGACTTCAATGTTAATTGATTGGGATTTCTTTTTTTTTGATTGTATTTTGCTTCTGCATCATATCTAATAATGGACTGCTTGTTGAGGATTTTCACTGTAGCTTTTTAATATGAATGGAAAAAAAATACACACCATTTAATGGGAAGTGGTACAACTGTATACCAAAATCAAGTTTTGCTAGGATGAAGCCATGTAAAGTCCACTTTGAGCCAAATTAGCTCCTAACCACACGTATTAGTATTAAGTTAAAAATCTGAAAATTAAATGTTAAAAACCAAATGTGATATTCTAGTTATTAGATAAATACAACACACCACTGGCTTTACATTCATGAAAGAGAGTGGAACCTGTTAAAACAGTTTGATGTTTGAAGTTACTCTTGAAAATGAGCTTGTGGACTGCTCTATAGCAAGTAAGAAATGACAGTTGCATTAGTATTTGTATTTCTTTTGACATTAAGGAGAAGCTTTCCTGTCAAAATTAGACCAATCTTGTACTTAAAGACAATTAAAATGAGGGGAGGTTTTGCCTTAAATGAATTCTCTTTATTTTGTGAATATTAGTTAACCTAGGATGTCTTTACTAATTCTTCCCCAGCACATATCACAAGCAGAAGCTTTACATATATATCTTTGTATTTTTGCACCCCTTTGGTAAAGGCCAACAGTGGAGAACTGACGGCATCAGCAACATAACGTACGAAACACAAGAAAAGAGTATCACCTTTGAGATGGGTGCCTTTTATACAATAGCACTTCTCCAGGATGCTCATCTCAACATGCCGTATCAGGCATGGGAATTGCGACCTACTGGTATGGATGAAGCACTACTTACAGTTACTGCAGTCTTTGCAACGATTCAGATACAAATTAAGGTACTGTACGTTTTCTTATAAAACATTTGCAGATTTTTTTTAAAAAAATGTAGACTTATTACAGTGTCCTTTATTAAGAACTTGGGATGCTTCCACAAGAGCAATTTGAACCTCACTGTTCCAGTGAAAATGAGGGAGGATCTCTTCCTTTGCAAGCACTGTAAGGAACAGTACTGGTGATTTAATTTCAGTTCTTTTCTGTGAACTGGTCAGAAGAAAGCATCTGTATGATTGTTCTGCAAAGTTCCAGTAAGAGCTTTGCTATTTGTACTGCCTTGCTGAATTCAAGACTGTTTCACCCGATAGAGACTTAAAAATTCTCTCCTCCCAACTATACCAAGAGAAATAAAAGCATTTCAGGCAACCTACTACTAATGCTACTTGTTCCTTCTAAAGGTTCAAGTTACACATGATTATCCGTATGCTCATTGCTATATAAATGTTTGGTTGCAGACATGATTTTACAAAGAGCCAGTATGAGCATGGGCCAGTAGACCAGCATCATTTCTGAAATCCTACAGAAAAGTGGCTGTCTTCAGGATACGTGAATGAAAGTTTACGGCCTAGAGTGGTAGATAATGTATGCAATATTCAGAACAGCAAAGATATTAATATTTGATGCCTGAAACAGAAAATAGCTTTCATGACCAGTAAGTTGCTTTCACTGGTTTGTACAAACAGGGTAATCAGTGTATGTTGTCTTCAGTAGTGGTGGAAGAGAAGGATGTGCTTTCCCATGTCACAGGAAAATGGATAAGTCCATTTAACCTAAGAGCAGTTTTGAAAAAAGCCGGTGTGAATATTTTCCCAGCAGAGTATTCTCACAAGTATGTCGCTGTGAGCAAGAAGGTGAGTGCAAGAGTGGATGGTTTTCCTGGGGTTTTTTCCATCTATTTTTCCCTTAGGTAACATTTTCTTGTATGAAGACCTGTTGTGCGGAATCAGGTGGCAAGTATACAAGTGTTCTGCCAGCTTAGCCAGTGGATTCTGGTTAGCACAAGCTTTTTCTTCCGTTTGTATTACGGGGAATTAAACTGAATGGGATTTTTTTTTTTCCCCCCCCTAACTTGTACTTTTGCATTACAGGCTCCCCTAGCAGAAGTTAGGGCCTATCAACAGATGGCACTGGTTGTATCTGCTTTTGCTTTTGCCTCGAGCAAGTGGAATCTAGAAGCAGGTCAAGAGCAAGTAGTGTTCAAGGTTTGTGGATTTAGACTAAAGTTCTAGAGAAAACTAGCATAGACCTCTATCACAGTTAAAGAGACAGAAACAATTAACTTCTATAAGTTATGCTCATCTCTAACACTGTCTTCAACCCCTGCCTATGCTTTTAGTGGAGCAATTTTAAGATTTGGGGTTGACTACTCAGCAGTGTTCAGTGTGTGTCAGTAAAACTTCAGCTCACGCATTTGTGAGGACTCTAATGGGACACACATGTCAGTAACAAAGAAACTTGCTAATGTGCTAGGACGTAAAACTGATAGACCAGCTATTGAGGCTTTAGCCAAAGCTGGGATGGTAGAGCTGGACGCTGATTTTCATGAAGTATCCTGCTGTAGGGGTCCTCTGAATAGCAATCTGAGCTGCAAGTTTTATAATTAATATCTGGAAATTTCTTCTTGTCCATATGGGGTTTCATTTGTTCCCTAGTGTAAAGGAGAGAATAAGCAACTTAACAAATCAAGGCTTCCTATCTGTGAACTAAAATACATGTGGTTAAAACTTCTCCCAGAGAGACAGAAAAATACTCCCCATTGTGGCTGTAGATACAGAACATACCACACTGTTGAAATCTTGAGAAACTCTCCCACTCTCTTGTTTCTGCATTACACTCATGAGTATACTAGAATTTAGAATTTCATATTAGAATTTATACTCTGTCAGTGTCATGGGCTTCATCTTACAGCATTTTTTTTTTTCCTGCAATAGGTAAGTGAGCATGTTAAAACAGATTCTGTCAGAAGGTCTCACAAAGACTGGTCTCTTTACATGTTTAATGGTCAGAAAGCACAAAAGCTTAAGATCACTGAAACCAGTGAAGCTTTTTCAGAAGAGCTAGAAGAAAATTCTGAATTTCACTCCACACTCTACCATATGCTTAAGGACTCTGCCAGCAAAGAAGCAATTGATAAAGTGGAAACCGCTAGCTTCTTGTTTATTGATGTTGTATATCAGCTACTGCTTGCTACAAGAGTTTTAACATACTCTTAGATACTGCATGCTTTCCTTTAAAACTTTATTATCAAAAGCTTTCAATAAAGTTACACTTCAAGTCTTGAATCCTTTTCTATTCAAATCATTGGAACACCTTCAATAACTAAAATGCAAATGTTCTATTTCTGTTACAGCAAAAATAAATTCTTTATTGTCTTGTGGCTAGACCACTTAGTCATATTTATTGTTATAGCTATGTTCAAAAATTATTGTTTTATTGTAAACTTGAATGGAACCAAGACCCTTTTAGGTACTTGTAAAGATGACTTTTGTCAGAAGGGGGCGGGGAGTGGGGGTGGGAATTATTTTTCAATTTCAAGTCACACTTTAAAAAAAAAAAAATGTCCCCAAAAAACACCCACAACCCAACAAAACAATCCAAAACATGTAACCTTAAATATACTATCTCAGCTTCTCATACTGTCATCCAGAACCTGGAAATATAACTACAAAAGTCAGAACCTTTGTTATACTGGGGGCGGTCCATTGTGTTGAAGTCCTGTATATGGCCACAACAGTTGCTGTAGTGAAGTCCAGGAGTCCCCGGTTCCTACAGGTGCTGCGTCTGCTGGTCTTTGAAGAGACAGCCCAGTGAGGAAGCTTGTAAGAGCAGCAAGCAGTACCAGGATGGAAACAGAAACCCAGAGAGTTTTGTTAGCATTGGAAAAGGAAGTCTTGAAATGGGATGCCCACGATGACAGTAATTTGCACCTGCACAGAAGAGTAAGTCATAGAGTGGTTCAGTTTTTCTTCAAAACTTGGAAGCCCTCTTCCCACACCACCCCAAAAAACCCTAAAGCAAACCAGACCCCACCAGCAGACATACAGATCCTTAACTATCAAAAGTGACAAGGTTGTTGCTGTATTGGGAGCCATGTACCACAGTAGCTTATGTTCTGGGTTTAAAATGCAGCCTTTGGTAAGCCAGTTCTCAATAAGCTATTTAGGTGACTGACATGACCCATGTGCCCAGTTCAGGCACCCATGCTCCCTGTACCCCACCATCTTTCTGAAGATGGATTCACAAAAGCTGCCTTGCAGCTCATGAAGAAAGTTTTAAGAAAAAAAAAAAAAGTTTTGCACAGGCCTCAAAACCTTTGATCATTTTTACAGGAGTACCTGTTAGCATGACCTAGTAGCCTAGCTATAACAGCTGCCAGAAAGTAACCAAGAGAGGTGGGATCATAGCATGAGGCCCCTCTTTACCTCACCATTTAGGATTAGTAATGAATCCCTGCTGCGGTGAGTCTCTGGCACCCAAGACTACTCATTCCCAGTTGGTTTGTTTAAGAAGCCAGCATTAATGACCAAACCAATGTTACAGCTTTGCTTCCTCTTCCCATGTCTACCACCCAAACATTGCTTTACCTCACAATGACATAAGACAACTTACGCTGACTCTAGGTTCCATTTTGATGAATATTTTCCTTTTTCAGATACGCTTTCCTTCCTTGATGGTTCTTCTTGTACTTCAGCAGGCGATTCTGACTGCTCGTTCCTGTAAGCAAGCATCAACAGTTCCAAAGTTTTTCCATCAAGCATTGAATTTGACAGAGCTCACAATAGCTTCACTTTATAGCCCTGAGCAGGTGGTGAACTCTTAACTGTCCACCAAAAACCAAACCAACCAACCCTGCACACACACCTTGGCGGCGGTTGCTGTTGAACTTACTTTGTTTCAGCATGTTCGTCTTCATACTCTGCCCAGGAATACGTGCTAATGAACCGCTGTAGTGAAGGACGCTTCTCATTTTGCTTTGCTCCCAGTCGTCCCCTGTCATATTTTAAAGAAATTTGACTTAATTTCCCCCACCAGATATATAGCAGAAAGCTAGAAATTCGGCAGCAGCCTACTCATTTAGGTAGGCCTTAGGCAAATAGATTTCAAAATTAGTTGCCTTAAGTTAGGATTCTTTTTTAAAAAAAGAAAAAAACCCCAGAAAACCCAACCACCAGAAGAAAAACCCCACCACCAAAAAAACCCCAGATCCATCAGTGCCAGATGCCTAGATCTCCTATTTTAGTTCTAAAGCAAGAAAGTCAAGGTAATTTTTTAAAACTCTCAACCCTTCATAAAAAAAATAATTAAAAAGATGACCTGTAACATTTAGTCACAAAGGCTCATTTCCTATTGAGACATGTAAAACTAATGTGAAAGGTGTAGCCTAAACATTATTATACCTCAAGATATATACGGAGGTAAGCTGCTTAATACAGGCACAGTTAGAGTTGAAAACTATTTAACCCCGTTCAAAGACAAGCCCAAGTAACTTTACCAACTGCTTGATCTCCTGTTGAGCTTGTCACTCCGTTCCTCTCCATCAGGTTCATGGAACTGGGCCTAGAAAAGAAGGTTGACAGCCTCGCTGCATCGGCATTTTTGCCCTTCAGCCCAGCCAGTTTTGAGAAGGTAAAGCGCCTCACCGTCTGGAAACCCTTACTTACCAGCGGCAACCCAATACCTGCATTTCCAGCACTCCTAGGCAATGTTGCAATGCTAACTCTTCGTAGGGATGATGATGGCTATACAAATAAGAGGCATTACTGACTCTATCAAGTAATGACTGGATTACTCACTGATCACATAAAATACCATCTATTTTTATACAAACTGTCGTAATAAAAATAGATGTTGATACTTAGCTTGAAGTGACACACAAATCAAATTATAAGCACAGCCCAAACCATATTCTTTAAAGCAGCATCTTTCCACATTAACTTTTTCCCCCCTAAGCACCTGAAGTGAGACTGGCTACACAGCTTCCAGCAAAATACCGAAATTGAAGGCATCTAAATTCTCCTAATGGTGCTCACAGGAATTCCTGCAGTCAGTTTGAATTCCTCCCACTTATTTTTTTCATATCTCTGTGCTAAACCCTTCTTCTGTAAACCCAATGAGAGAACCATACATGAACAACATTTCTTAACCACTGCATGAGAGCACAGCCATTTCAGCTTCTGCGAACACTTCATCTTCTAAGTGGGACCACATGGAGTTCCCTCAGGTTGGTGGGGGTGACTGAAAAAATATATCCTCGTGTTTGATGACATCAGCCCATATTTGAGCCAGAAAATTACCAAGTCAAGCATGTAGCAGAGCACCGGTGCATGACAAGGCAAAGAAACACACGTAGCACACTTAAAAACACACTTGAAATTTCATGTTAAGCTGTAACAGCCATTACCTTAAAGTTAAAAGAATGTGGTAGCTTTTTATTCGTAGGTTCATCTGTAAAGAGATCAAACACCAGAAAGGCTTACAGGAATGCAGTGAGCTTTATTTGCAACTAAAGGTCTGACTTTTTGCAGTATCTGTTTAGGTGTATCAGAGTACTCTCAGAAAGCAGAAATGAGATTTCAGGAAAAAGCTTTCTATTTCATTATATAAGTTCATAATATTCACACATTATACAATATCTACAAGCATCAATTTCTGTTTCTATGATTAAATGTATTCTATTATCAAGGCAATGTCCTGTTACAAGATGGTCTTACACAGTCAGGAAGGAATAGCCCATGATTCAGAAGGCTCCTGCAAGGATTTTACCTGTGTGCAAGACTGCTCTTTCTGTTTTTTAAAACTACATGCTCTATTTCTCAGAAGAATTTAATCCTTCTCTGGCAAAGCCACAAGTGCACAGTGCAATCTGAAAACCTGACCGCTGTACTGGCTGCTTAGATGGGGAAATTCAGAGCACTTAAGGAGTCTGTAATTTGTGTTTAGAAAAGATCAGGAAGCATCTGTAGGGAGCAGTCAAAGCTCAGCTACCTAGAAATAGCTGCTGGGAATACTCCAGTGTGAGCAAGCACACAAGTTTACTGCTCACAAGGCATAAGATTATCACCACCACATGCAATGCACTTTTCTAAAAGCTAGAACATTACTGCATACTTGCAATATTTTCCCCCCACCCTGAGATTCATGACAGTTTACATACAAGTCTAATTTCAGAGAGTTGTTTCTAATACTGTCAGTAAATTGCTATTTTTTCCTCTATTTTTAGGAAAGGAGATATAACAGTCATATAACCCCTCCACCTAATATGTTAAGCTTCAACTGGATAAGGGTCTATCTGGCAGGTGCTAGAAAGAGGAAAGACGAAGCAGCTTTACCTCGATCTCCAAGAGAACTAAAGGATCTCTCATTCTGGAGCAGGACCTGTTTCAGCTCCTCAAGTTCCGCATGTTCTTTTGCGTACATGCGCTTCAGGTTTTCCACATGTTGAATCATTACTTCCACAGCCTTGCTGACACGGCTCTCCTAACAGAGCAAGTGCAACAGCAGTAGGAAAAAGAAGTGGCTCTGAGGAACTGCATTCATGTTTAGTGTTTAAGACTTTTTTTCCTCGTAACCGTCTACTCTTATCTTGTATCACCATGATGCAACATCCTCTCATTTTTGTCCACCCTTTCAGAGTTTCACTACAACCTGTCTCTCAACACATGCCCAAGTTACACAGGTCTCGCTTCTCCAGTGATTACTCTTATCCTAAAATAAATTAGTCTTCATTTTCTGAGCCCTTACAACTCCTCCTCATCTCTTTCTCTGATCTACAGTCTCAGCTGCCACCACGCATTTGCTGGTATTGCCAAGTCATATTTTCATGCTGTTCTTTGGCATTATACACAATTACACATAACATTTGAGCAGGTCTCTGTAGTTTTCCATAGATTTAACTTATTAGCTGCCCTTTCCATAAGGCACAGAATTACCATTAGAGCATTAAGACTATTGTTACCACATTGCATTCTCGTGCTCTCTACTGTATAGGTTCCTCTGATGCAAAGTTTTCTCTGGGTTTTTGTTTGGGTTTTTTGTTTGTTTGTTTTAAATCAGAACCATATTTCTGTTGTGTGATTTTGCACAATGCTGGTGCAACATAGCTGCTCTCACAGCGCCTGGGATTCCTTATAACCCCACAAACAGTGATGTGAGAAGAGAAAGCCAGGACTAAGCTGTACTGGTCAGTCTGCATTACATGCACGAGATTCCCAAATCTAATTCTGGAATCAGAAGCCTAGCAAACAGACACTGCTATCCCTTTACATCTAGAAGCTTTTAACTTTGTACAGAATATGTTTACATGGAAAAAGTTACCTGATTAATAGCTCCCAACATCTCTGCTTTACTGGCGACTCGGGCTGCATACTGGCTGAGGAACTGCAAGCTTTTCTGCAACTTCTTAATAATCTCCTGCGCTTGGTTATCTTCTTCACACAAAGGAACTAAAGCCTAAGAGGCATATGGGTAAGAAAAACAGTGTGAGCTATTAGTAGAGAAAGAAGGGTGAACCCAACTGATGACACTGAGGGGGTGTGTTCATGCCCACACAGTCAAAAGGTCAGCATCCAACATCCTCAATGTAACTTGATACAGACCTCCAGTGGGCAGAGACTTCTCTTTACCTAGCATAAAATCAGCTGAAGACAGGGGTTCTTGCCAGATGTTTGTGCAATAGAAAAATTCCCTGCTGCCTGAGTGCACAGTATACTCAGATGAAGGTTACCCCCCAAATGCTAAGTCTCTCGTATTTCAACTGCATCACTTAGGAACTTTGTTCAGATTTGCTTATAATGTATTGCAGGCACACACCCATCTACAAAATAGCCATATTAAGAGAGACGCTTTCACAATCATTCATCCCATCTACCCTACCAGCCTTGGCCAATACTAACCTCTAACATCTTCAGAGCATTTGTGATCTCCTTTTTCAAATTTTCTTCAGCCAAGTCTCGGGACCTTTCTTCAAGCTTCACTCTCTTGTCCAAGGTAAACAAGTCACATTTAAAACCTAAAGACAACCTCAGAAATTCAGCCTGTTGTGGGAGAGGAAAAGATTTCAGAATAATCCAAGTAATGCAGAAGCTTTTAAAGTATATTTGGGTACTGACATGATATTTGGGACTATACCCCACAAGCAAAGTTATAGGAGAGATACAGAAGAGAAAGTGAACATGGCCCACTTCCACAAAGCCAGTCTTCCCATCTGTAGTGATGGGAGAAATAATCTGCAGCCAAAATAGGTGACATCCTGGCAGCATGCCGTGTGCCATCTGTGTCTTTTGACAAAACTGTCTTAAATCAGCACATTCTGCCTGGGAGAAGGTCACAGCTATGCTCCTTCAAGCTTGCAAACAAGTGATTTAGTAGTGACAAATCTTTTGTTCAGTTTTACACATTGCCACCTTTTCCCATCCCACCCCTTCCAAAATTTCCATTGGGCTTGGCAAAACAGATTTCAGAAGCCAACTTATAGAAATACATCCAGTTTAAGCTAGTCAGCATCATTCTTTTATATAGGACAAGATATTAATCAGGGCTTATCAACAAGATCTTTCTGTTATCAGAGATAAATACTTAAGGATATAAGCAGCTGAGACTTACCTCCACTTCTTTCTCATTAGCAGAGTCACTGTAGGACAAGAAGAAGCAATCATGTAACAGACTGCAGCTTTAAATTCATACCTGCAGGTGATCATTGAAAGTCAAAACACTTACGGCTCATTTTGCTTTGTTTTATCTGTTTTAATGCCACCTGCAGTGGGTGAACTCCCTGAGAAGAGAGAAAAAAAGTTCTCAGACAGAAGTGAAAACAACAGCTTGTGAAAGTCTTTTGAGCTCCAATAGAAGCCACTCTTAAAGATTTCCAGCATTAAGCTCTTGCTGGTAAAAACAATTTGTGTACCTCAGAGAGCATTAGGGTTAGTGTCAGTAAGGCAGCACAGCACTGTCACTTGTACAAAGCCCCAAAAGTTAATTGCTTAGCTGACTTCAACTGGCATTTAATTAGTACAGGAATGGTTAATTACAGGTTTTGGTTTAAAGTCCCCAGCCCATAGGTTCAGGATGTTACATGACTTACTACATCACTAACTTTTAGTGAACTCCAAAGGCAAAAGGTGAGGTAATTAGAAGAGTAGAGATGTCTTAAGCACAGTTCAATAGAAACATTATCCTGCTTATCTACATTGTATTACCCCAAGCTCTAGCTAGCATAGGGGACACTGCTTTACAAGTCTTTGGAAAGAGCCGGCATTCCAGAACTGTTTCAAATACCCCAACTCCTTTGCAACTCCTAAGAAATTTTCCCTCCTGTCTAGAGGAAGATGGAGCTGGTTAGATCAGTATCTGTAGAAATCAGAGAAGCAGGTTTTGCACGATAACATTTTCCTTCTCTCCACTGCTAATCCATTTTGATCTCTACATGCAGCTATTATTCCTCAACACCCCCCCCCCCAATTAACTGGTGTGGGGCAGACAGCTCTCTGCACCTCTTTACACAGGTCTTGACAGAAGTGACCAAGGCATGCACCCCAGCAAGTCACATGAATGTGTTCAGCAAAAACCTCTTACCTTTCCTACTGGGAACCACAACTGGTGCTTCCTCACTCTGCTCTTTATTATTTTTCTTTTCCTGGTCCACCTCCTAAAGGCATATCAGAGATTAGTTACAGCAAGGGAACAGCCACAACACCACTGGAGGGGTCTGTCCCCTCCTGCAGTGTTTTTCTTTGTCACTGCTCAGCCAAACCAGTTCTATGTTTCACTGTCACTAGGACTCTTACCGGGTCTTGCTTTAAAACATTTTGAAATGTGGTTTTGTGTTCTTCCGTCACAGTGCAGGATTCCTTCTCGGTCAGATCCACTCCTGGGGAGAAACATTGCCAAAACCAAATGTAACGATAAAACCAGAACAAGCCTCCGACATCCAGGGTACTAGCCATGGACCAACAGGGCTAAAAGAAATTGCAGCAAATGCCAGGAGAGGGCATTAAGAAGCAGAGGCAGCAGCAAAGAACACTAAAGACATAAAGGAAGAAGTGTGATGATAATTATGTTTGGCTTAGAAAAAATCCCAATAAGAAGTGTTACATGTCTACAGGTGGGACTATTACTCCTGGTTGTAGTTGCTGTAGTTGAAGTTGCAAGAGTTACAGTAATACTCCCTTGGATAAATGAATTTCATTGTTTTGCTGCCAGCATTTTTTTGTTTGTTTGTTTGCTTACTATTTAAAGAGACAGTTCATAATTAATTTTTATTTGGCATTCTATAAGCACAGGAATATGTTAAAAAAACATCCCATGCACAAACTAACAGGAGAAGTGATGAGTATTTGTAATTCTCTTCTTTCACATTACAGAATATCAGATGAAGTCAATAAATAGATGCTACTTCATCTGCCATTATAGAGGAGCTTGAGCACAACCAGATCATGAAACGCATACAGTTGTGGTATTTCAGGTACATAAGCTTCAACCGTAGTCCAACACCTGGACCGTCCTTTGTACTTAAACATTGAACTAGCAGGGTGCTGCTAGAATCAACAAAAAACAACTTTCTTTCCCAGAATGAGTGGTGATGAACTGGTAAGTTCAGGAACTAACGATGCCAGATCAAATGCAACGCAAACTTTCAAGTGCTGCAATTTAGAAAAGCTTTAAAAGCAGGCAAAAATAACCTCCAGGAAGAGAGCTACTAAAAAGATTTAAAAAGGAAAATATTTAAGAAACTGAAGAAAGTCTGAGAGTCACACTAATTTCTTGTGTAGCAGTAACTCTGGTAGCTATTTATACCTTTCAGAACATCTAGAAATTTTTTTCCCTTTTCTGTTTATGTAGTCATATACACACACCCACACAGATGCAAGCCAAAGAAATAGCACAGGACAAAAAAACCCCCACCTTCAGGTTTGAAGTACTTGCTTTCTCTTTTCATCCTTCACATGAACAACCACCTCTGCTTGGCACTCCCTTTGGTCCCTGCTGATTTTTGCAGCAGCCCCACATATCTGACCTGGCTCCCAAACACCTTTAGAAGACATTGTGTGGTACTAGCCACAACCACAAGGGGAGATTCATCAATGTGTCTGTTCTAATACTAGAAACACTTTCTACTCAGAGATGTACAACAGGCAGCAGGATTCTCAGACTTTAAAGCTCTTTGGACTCTTTCTGATCCGTTTTGCATATCTGTTTCCTCCTTGCCAAAGGCACCTAGACCACATATGAAAATTAACAGTAGAGGCAAATTAGCAGCAAGAAAATACGTTTAAGTGAGGGGACTGAATTAGATTTCAGGAAGATAGTACTAAAGAAAGAAACAAAACCAAACAAGAAATGACGACAAGTAGTCTTATATTTAGGTAAAGGTTAAAAAACGGTTACAAGCAAGCATGCACACATATTCTGTGCTGCCTATTCAGATCAGCTTTTTTTTTAAATAGCTTAAATACACCGTGTACACATACTCCAGTTTTGTTTTGCTTTTAGTTTTTAAGTAGAAGAAGCACCAGCAGGTCTGGTAAGAATAATTCTTCTGGGTGTTTATGGCTCTAGCAAAAGACAGAACCATACACAACGGCCTCTATCCTCATCTTTCCTCTTGACCCATCCCAGCTTCTTGTGCGCTGAGCATCAGTTTTGAAAGAGAAGAAAGTGTTATTTAATTTAGTCTAGCTATGTCACTAAACATTTTAAAACCATGAAAACATTCTCTCTCCTCCCAAAATTGCCTGGGGTTTAGTACCCACACAACATTTTGCCAGCTGAGCAAGCATCAAGATTTCACTAACTTATTTCATGTTTACTTCTAGTAGGACTGTAGGCTACCAGCATCCTGCAAGTAGGTAAAGCCTTATTCGTACTCAGAGGGTTGAGAGGACTTGCAGGCAAAAGTATGTTCAACAACAGAAAATCACAAGTTGTCATTAAGTTATTTTTCTTACTCAGCTTCCTCACTTCAAAGATGTGCTGGAAGCAAGCCGTTTCCTCACCGCATGAGTGCCAGTGAGCTGCAGCAGTTACTGTACCTGATACAGGAACAACGAGATCCTTATCGATGTTTTTCTCCATTGCCACGGAAGTTGGCACATCTTCCTCTTTTTCATGTGAGCACTTGGGTGACTTTTCCTCCATAACAAGGCAGCCTATAAATTCAGGCAACAGAAGACAGAGCTCTTGCTGTTCAGTAAATGTGCAGACTTGAGCGTATCTATTTCCAAGACTCTCAGTGCAAAAGTTCACATGTCTGTGCCCCAAATGGCTTACCTGTTACTGGTGCAGTGCTTTCCAAAGAGGATGTAAGAACTTCGTGGGGTGAAGTTAAGTGATCACTGCCAAAATAAAAGTCTTTCAGATACTCATCCATATTATACAATCTTGATAAATGCTTTTAAAAGCTTGCACAAAGCCTGACCTGGATGGGATCAGACTGGCTGGTAGCGTTGGCTCTGCACCGTCAGTCTTAATGGAAAGAGAGAAGAGTTAGTATCAGGGAAAGGGTTACCATACAAGTAGAAAATTTCTATGTCAAAGTTTTAATAATTCCCCCAGCTGTGCCTAAATTATTTCAGCAGAAGAAGATGGTAGATGAAGAACTAGATGGTAAGCGCATGCAGATTCATCTGCTAATCTAAAGCCACCCATACATACAGTATGTAGCTTAACATGTTATCATCATTAGGAGTGATAACTATGTTTCTGCAGAAATCTTATCTCAGGAATATCATACTTAGAGATGTATTTTGGTTCCTGACTTCATGTTTTGCTTCTAACGCACATTTTCAAGTGACCAGTGTACGTGTTGCCACACCACTGTTCTATCTTAAAGCTGTGCATCAAGATATATCCATTTTCAAGGTCTTGCCCTCAAACGCCACAAATGAGGTGCACAGAACTTCACTCAGCTACAGATGTCAGACTCATTTAGGTAAAAGAAAAAAAAAAACCCACATTACTGTTAACGGTTCAACTGAGCAGATGATTCAGAACACAGAAAACTTGCATGTTGTGTTGTACATTTTAGCATGTGTCTTTGAATGACACCGGTTTTCCATATTATATATAACAATTACCTAGCCAATTCAGAAGGCTTCAGGCCTCCTCCTTCGTATGCAAACAGCAGAGAGGAATTCAGCAGTTAAAGGCTGGTACGTAGTTTTGCTCATGTTCCTTTAGCTGCTACAGTGCGGTTCTGGACCCGAGTCTTATCACATCACAGACAAAAACAACGTCCTCTTAAGTCTTTTAATATGGCAAGGGAGATACTGAATGGGAAATATCCCTCTTCCTCATTTTACCCTGGATAACTCCAGCTTGCTAATTCAATTGGTAGATTGGTCTCTCTTTACGAGTGAAAATACAGGGTGAAACAGCAGTTTAAAGGGTTAAGTCAGTAATGACTCGTGATGAACTCTATCCACTGCTGAAGAGGAGTGCTAAATAGAAAAAAACACCCCAAACCTATGTCCACGCAGAGAAGGTGTGAGGCTAGCCAGCTTTGGGTAACACCCTACATTTCAAGTGTCCAAGAACACTATTGAAGTCGGGGGGAAACAACAGAAAAAACATATCAGCAAGTGATCCTCTATGTTGTGGTATCTTCCCTTCCCCCTCAAACATCCTCAGAGGACCCAGGAAACACAGCAAAGTTGAAAAGGAGGTGACCAAGGCCTCCAGTCACTTCCGAGAGCAACTGGCTGCTCCCAGCATCAGTAAGGGCCTTCCCTCTCCTCTCCACACCTCGAAGCTCAACTGCACTCACAGAGCCTTGCCCCAGCCAGCCGGATGTTTCCTCTAATGCAAATCCAGGCTATTTTTATTCTTATTTGAATTCTTTATTAAGCTTAAGGAAGTACAGCATTGCATTTGCCTTATTCAGGCCATTAGGTCTACAGAAGTATTGGAAAAGGAGAAGGTAAAGATGAAAAGCATATTGGAATGAAAACAAAAGAAATCTAAAGAGCTTTTAAAACAAAACACACACACACCACCCAAATAAACAAAAAACCTTGTGTCACCCGGAACTGACTAAAGCAACACATTATTCTACATGTCCTATCCCTCCCCAGGTAATCATGTGGTCAGCGGTTTCTGTTTGCAATGAAGGAAAATCCTCAATTTGGTTTGTAAAACCCCATGCTGGCTATTGTGAGCTCCCATGGGATTACACAGGGTACACTTAAAGAGAAAAAAACAATAGCAAAAAACCCCCACATTCTAGATTTTGTAAGATCTGTTTCCACAGGGCATTAGGGAATGGTTCTTCTTCCTAATAAAAGGATTGTGTCAAAGAATATCCTGCAGTACAATCCTAATTACTTTTTCCCCCCCTCCATCCCTTTGATTAGCATAATAATCCAAGTATCCTCTATCACAGCTGACAAGTTCTGGCCACAGTCTTGTATAACTTCTCCCAAACAAGCATTAACATTTGGAAGGCCTATCATCTGGTTTTTAGACTGTGGTGCAACTTTCACATTTATAAATCAAAACAAGTATAAAAAGTCCAAGATTCATCTGGCTCTCACAAGAGCTCCTTCATTAAATAGCCCCTAAAGTCCCATGGTGACGACGCTTTGACAAAATAGTTTGAGTTACTCACATGCTGAAGGGGCAATCTGCTCAAAACACATCTGCAACCACAATGTCATAAAAAGAAAACCTAGGGAAACTTTTCCTATTAAACAAGGATATTCAAATTTCGCTGCACGTCACAGTTTTTAGAACAGATACTGGACACAGTCTGTTTGCCTTTTCTCTGGGACAAGCTTTAACATTTTAATTTTTCCCCTCTAGAATATTCACATGGAAAGTTTATATAAAAAAAAGCAAAAATGGAAAATGACATTTCTGAGCCCAGCTGCAATTACAGAAAGCTCCAGAGCAATGAAGCACAGGCATTTCAAACAACTTTGCAAGGCTGTGACTTTCCAGGAGGACTAGATAAAGCAAGAGCCCTTGAGATTATCCTCTTTAAGGTAGCTTAAGTAGTAGCAGCACAAGCTAGGAGTTTCTTACCTGCTCTACCCCAAACAAGCAATGCGCTGAAGCCACAGGCACTCCCCATGACTCTTACTTTCTACCCTCACTGCACTTTCTGCCTTGATTTGCTGCTACAACCAGACCACCGCTGCACTTGCAGGTACCACACACCAGCTAGGGTAGGTCTGAGGTTGCCCGTCATTAGTCTTGCAAGGTTATTTCCAGATTCACAGAAACCACCGACCAATATTCTTCCATTATCACCACCAACACCAATGCTGAAGTTTGTAAAGCTAATTAGAAGCCCTGTGTGGCAGGGCTGAGGTCTAGATTTCAATAGTCAGTATTGTGGCACTGAGCACAGAGCTCCACGAGGTGTGCCGAGCTGCAGCTCATCTTGCTGTTGCCATGAGAAAGCCAACTGACAGCTCAAGCTGTAGATGCAGGATTCAATACAGCAGTGAGGGCATATCTGAGCACATCAGCCAAAGGAAAGTTTTCAAACAGCAAAGATGTCATTTTTCAGCTAGTACCTGGTAGCTGTGGGAGAAAGTGCAGAGAAAGCCAGCATTCACAACTAAAACATCCTGTGGCTTCTTGCAGGTGGATAAGAACAGCAAAGTCACTCAGACTTCCCTGGCAGAACTAAGTACCACTGCAGAAAAAGCACCATCTCAAGCCTTGAAACCACATTTAAAATACTCCCCAGCTAAAAGCATGACCCAGATGCACGTGAACATCAAGACATTTGGGTCTATAACTACAGTATTCCAGAAGTGTGCCCAAATAGAAGGCACTACCCTACAGTTAACAAGATGTCACGGCACCCCGCTGACTGATGCCAGCTCCATTCACCTTGGAGCAGTGCTGATTTTTAGCTGCTCAGTCTGGAGCTGGGTCCGTGTAAGGCACTAAATGCTTAAACCCATTCAAAACCACATCTTGGGCATCAGAGACAGCACTCACCTCAGAAAGTGAAGAGTCCATCATTGTAATGGAAACAGGAAGGTCTGCATCAGTATAGTTACCAGCAGAGCATATTTTCCACCTGGCAATACACATTTTATTTGCATATTGCCCAAACAACAGTGAGATATATTGCCCATTTTCCTTAAGCACATAACAACTGAAATCATCACTATCTGTATAGCCAGACAGCTGGTGTCTCAGAGAAAGACAAATTCATCACTAACATCAATCCCTCCTCCCCCAAATAGAAAGAACTACCACCAGTCCTTCTCCCAGCCTCCTCCACACTGCACAGCTCTGCAGAAAGCCAGTAGCAAAAGCTTCAAGAGCTGCTGAGTCTTTTGCTGCAGGCTGCCTGTTTCTGCATATTCAGGAACATCCTTGTCTTTTAAAATATTCACTGACAAGAGTTAGCTAGCTTTCATAATCTTAAGCAGTTCAATCTCTATTTTAGAGATCTAGAGAGGCAGCCTGCTAAGCAAAGACCTCAGAACTCCTGCTCTAAACTCCACAAAAAAAATGTGACTCCTCAAAGCCAATTGGATTTTGACTCCTAAATGGGAAGTGTCAGTTGTGAGTTAAATACTGAAAATATACACAAGAACACCTACATCATGCCTCAGTTCTCCAGCATGAAATGGAAACACCATCACTGTATTTCACTGGTGGTCATACCAACAGTTTCAGTAAAGAGTTTTAATATTACTTCTGTGAATAGAAGCAAAGTGTTATCCCATAACACCATTAACTGACCACTGAGTGTTCAGTATTTCCTATAAGAGATACCCCGCTGTTGAACTCAATGTGCTGGGGATACAGCTTTCCCTTGGAACCGGCTAGACCCCATGGACTCTTCCACCCTTCACCCCAAAGAGGTTATTCTGCCACCTTACTTGCACCCCACTGACCTTACATCTGAAGTGGACGTGTGTCCCAGATCGCAGCTTTCAAATGTGCAGCTGCCAGAGCTCTGTCTACAAGGCCAATGCCAGCTGTGCACAGGCAAGTTATTTGGGCAAGAGGTTTCCAAAGTCAGAGCATCTGTTAAGAGAGACAAGTGTGAAGAGTGGCAGTCATTGGCAAGTTTGGATTTAGTCACATGTCGATTTTTGACTAAGTCTAAAATAACCTGTATTTGGTTGGTCTGCTTCTTGATTATTATAAGGCAGCTTCCATCTGGGTTAAATTACATGGC